CGTTTATGTGTAAAACGCGAGGTAGAAGACACAGAGGCAGATCGTTATAAAAATGAAATTGGTTGAAGTCAGAACAGGTCATAAACCCATCCTTGGAGTAGAGGAGAAGCAGACGATCATAAGTGTGTCAACTCTGTTATTTGTTAATTTGAGCCTAACTGCGTCGCCACGCTGCCTCTGCCGTGCCACCGCGCTGACAGCGGGCCCACAACGGGCGGGTGGATGACGCAACGGCGCAGAAGAGGAAGTGGGGGGTTTCGTAAATTTCACTTTACGACACTCCTATCGTCCGATTTGCATGATTGTCACGGCGTTGGATTCAGAAAGCATGTCGCCATTGCGCTATAAGGTCACATTTTTAAATTTGTTCTCGGAAGTTTGAGAACTAATTTCAAATTCGCGTTTTTGTAAAATTTTTGAAAAAAGGTCATCGTATCGTAAATTCTATTTTAAAAAGGCGTCAAATGCCGTTTAGAGATGGAAAATCGAACCATTGGTTCAGACGTTATCGGTAAATTAAATTTTACTTATTTTGGTGCTGCCACGTGGTGGCTACAAATTGTGCTAGTGTACAATTTAGCCTTAAGACAACAGTAGAGATGCTACAACAGCATACTGTGACGTCATGGATACTCACAGCAAACACAGACACAGAGCTTTCATATAACAAATATTTATTTACCAAGAAACACAACAAATATTTACACCCTAGCTCTCATAGACCTACTATCCCCTGATCGCGGGAGCGACGCAAACCCGATTGATGATCGGTTTCAATTGTGGCATTTGCCACTCCTACTTCTGGATCGCGCACAAAGCCAAGCTCCCGTGACCGGATATCACACTGGGACACAAACTCCGTTCTGGCGTACCAACTGATGATTTGCCTCGATCGCAGGAGCGATCTTACCCGATTGAGAATCGGCGGAAGTAGTGGCACTCAACCACGCCTCACCTCGGAGCACTCACACAGCATCGCTCTCACGTGACCGCAGTCACCCAAGGACACAAAGTCCTCCACAGGTTCGTCAACTCGTGACTTGCCTCGCGAGCCCTGCCCCCCGATGCACCGTCGTGGCGCCATGTTTTGTGCAACTGCACGAGGTTCTCCCACTGTCTCCAAAACCCACCCACTGGTTCTGTGCACTCCCTTATATACTCGAGGCTCACGTGATCTACTACGTCATGCCGCCCCCGCCGTACCCTATTGCTGGCCATGAGGGCTTGGGTCTCCGTTTCTTAAGACCGGAGGATCCCAAAGCCTCGTATATCCCTTTTCCGCGTTCTTGCTTAAAGGAAAAGCCCTTCTCTCCCTCCTGTGGCAAGGAGTTTCCTCTTACTAATCCCATATCATGCGTCCCCAAATAGATGCCACGAGGCGCGCTGGCTAACACGTTCCAATATACTTTCTCCCGTTATTTCTAAATTTCCAATTTTTTGAAAATTCAGCGTGAATTTATTCTGAATTTTAAAACAATGATTTTTAAATGTATGTTTTTGGAAGTTACAATTTTTGGTTAAAAATATTTGGGGCTCTTATATCACATTTTTGGGGTGATATTTTGGCTATCACATTCTTAGCGATTCAAGGCGCTGTGGTATTCAGAACTATCCGCTTCATCCAGCAGAAGATTCACTATTCTGTACATCCACATTAAAGTTTATAACGTAAGTCATAATAAAACACTTCAATTAAATTTGTGATTTTACAGCTTAGTATTGAGATTAATAAGTGTGGGAAGATGCAGTGAACATGTGAGGAAAATTTATGGGAATATTTGAAAGAATATTTGGGGGAAAGTTTTGGAGAGTATTCAATTTATTATCTACCATTCATATGTGTGCTTATTGCGTAGCTAACCATACTACAGGCTTATTAACTAATACTTCATATGTCTTACCTGCTAATTTACTTCTAATTCTGTACATTTAACCTATCACATACGTTTGACAATTTATTCCGTCTTCAATTACCTCTGATCCCATCAGTTGCACACTTCCTTTTGTGATTGGATTGCTACACGTACACTATTGACAAACATGTAATGATCATGTGAGAGAACATTCGACCCAAACCCCCTAAATATGCTACCCCTGAACTGAAAAAACATTTCCTTTGTGGGGCCAAGTTCATAATCAAAATTCGGATTTCTTAGCGCCTTAGTTCTATACTTCCCGCAAAACACAACGGTATTGCGGGCACATATGATTGTACCGTGGGAACCGTTTTGATGTGCTGTAAATGTAATATACTACGAGTATATCAAACCCTAAGGAGTTGAGCATGCTATACCATCTTATCTCGATATGAATATTGTATAATATTAGTATTCCATTAAGTACGTGTACCGCGGAGGGTGCGCCCGCTGGCATCGCGTCGTCGCGTCGCTCGCCGGGCGAAATCAAATTTTGGGCCGCGCCGGCATGCTCCCCTACTCTACAATGGGGACTTCGTTTAATTCGAGGAAAGAGATGATTGCTACAGAAATATTATTGGCTGGGCCCGTGCGAACTCTTTGAAAACTGAAAATCATTGTTGTGAAGGTGAAAACTGCTTCAAACTGGATCTCAACTTTGGACGGCCATCAAGGCCATAAAAAATTCCAAAAAACATAACTTTTTAATCGTTATTTTAAAAGTAAAAATAGCTTCACACTGGAACCCAACAATCAGCGTTTGTGACAACCTGTGCTTTGGGAAAAGGGAACCTTCTAAAAATGTAATAGAACGGCAAAATAAAAATACTTAATTTAATACCTAATGAACACTTTATGGTTCTGAACTAAAAAAATGTCCATTGATATAACAATTTATTATGAACATTGAATTAAGAGCTGCAAAACGACGAAGGATTAGGGTATGATATGTTTCATTCTATGTTACATATATGAACAGATACAATTTAAATAAAAATGCATGATAACGATTTCAAAATTAAATATTCCCTTACATACAAACATTACTGTCCAGGACAGAAGAAAGTCTACAGGATTTCACAAAATATGTCTCAAGCCTCATCTATTTTTTCTTTCAATTAGATTTTTCTCCATTCTTCTTGGATATTTTCGTTTTCTTAAGTACTTATTAACCGTGCCGTCTCCAGACGCATGTAAGCGATCTATTCTTTTGTTTCGAGAGTACTAAAATTGCGCTAAAATTCATAGCGGCCCACTATCACTCGCATGGCACCTACAGAGAGGCCTTACTCCGTCATCACTACTTCCGGTTGCGTCGGCCAGACTCCAATACGTGGAAGACGTCTCCTAGCACCGTTTGACAAGCGGAATACGAACGACATATTAGCTATCACACGCTTCTGAGGAACAGTCGAAGACATTTGAATCGATGCAAACAAAACGGTTCGATGTCATATTTTGGCAGTTTTGAGTTAACGGTTGGAAACTGTTCTTAAATTAAGAATTCAACTTTCAATGCATAAAACTTCGTTGTCCGTGAACTCTGTGACGTCTTTAGACTCCTTCAACTATTTATGTTAAGAAAAATGATCGATGTCCAGAACATAGAACCTTTTTGCTTGCTCTTCAAAATTTCACGTTCCTGGACATGAAACATTTTAGTTTTCTCCGATTCATTTTCCGCACGTACCACTGGACTAAAATACAGCGAGATTCAGGACTCCCATTCGTAACTAAAAGGCTGGGGACAGAACGCGTGGTAATTTTTTCAATGCATTTTAGACGTTTCTGTAGGTTTTTCTTGTGTTTCCCATTTTTATTTTTCTGCACTTTTACAGTTTTAATTTTTTCTCTGGGCCTCCTAAGAGAATCATGCCCCCCCCCTCGATCCGACGTTGCGATTACGTCAGTAACACCTTAAACTACGCATTCGAATTTGTTTTGATAATAAAGAGATTTGATAAATAAAGAGTATTTTATTGACCATGAGCATTTGGCGATGTACTATGTCATCAAAATCCGCCTCTTAATTATTATATTTCGTCATATTAGGGATAAATGGCTGACTGTGAATGGAGTGTGATTGGTATTAAAAAAATACATTAAGATTATACAGAATGACGCAGGCTAAGCTAAACTCAAACTCACGCTAGGATACGATTTTGTTCGTTTTATTGATTATCCGTAAATATATTTACGGAGTAGAGAGAAAGTTATGTAATACTGCGTGAAAAACTGCAGAAAAGCTCTTATTTGGGGGCCCTGGAAAACGAAAAAGTGGATAAATCGACATAGATAAATCGATAAAAAAGTGGACATTTTGTGGGTCTTTTTGGGTTGTTGTTTTTTTTTGGGGGGGGGGGTCCCTTACCCTAATCCCCGTGGAGCCTCGTCTAGATTTGTAAAGTACGTAAACAGGAAAATGTTTGCCTAGATAAGCAATTCTTGAGATTTTCGAACCATTGATGGCGACTTCCATGGACTTATTAACTATTTAAAATCATATGCTTTTTAGAACACTAAAGTAATAGACACTCTACACATCCAGGTAATATTGAACTATGCAGCTACAGTGGATGTTTAAGTAATAATTCTGAAGTGCCCACATTTCATTTTCTGTAATTGTGAAATTTCTGTAGCATTGTAATCTTAAAAACGACAGAAATGTATTTTAAGAAAGCTTTACTCAAATAACCAAGTATTATGCAAGTACTTTTTAAAACTAGGTTGAATGATATGACAACATGGGTCGTTGTACCTAATTTACCTGCAATTCAGAAACTTTCAAGAATTGTGGGCGAGTTACAACTGATGCAATGCTTTCTGAAGAAACTGCAATTATTTCAAGAAAACGCAAAACAAATTCTTGGCATAATCATACAGAGATGAATTCAGAAGGTATTTTGGGGAGGGAGTAGTGTCAATTTGGATTGTGATAAATTAGTCTCATAACTCATTTGTAACATGAACTTGAATATTTAAAATCCTACAACAAAACTAGTATGTGTAATAATAAAAGGTGAAAAATAAACATTTGTTTTTCCCAAATGCAAGAAAACAAGACATTTTTGTTTTTCTTTTCAGTTTAAATTGCAACTGTGACAGTGAATTCAGAGACTGCCTGAGGAAAGCAAATACGGATATCTCTCAAGCAGTAGGAGTTACTTATTTCGATGCTCTCAACACCCAGTGTTTTCGAGAAGATTATCCTATAATTAAATGTGCACAAACTTCATTGTAAGTACACACATAATTTACACTAGGATTACACAACTATTCAAAATTCTATTAAATACCATTTTTAAATGAACAAAAAATAATTATTTAAGCACAGGCTGCAAAACAAATATAATTCGTTCATTGGCACATCCAAGAGTGTTAAGGGCTCAAGAGGTTCATACTGCCATCCCCCAGAAGCCAATGACATATTCAAAAACTTGGTTTTTACTAAATTTCTATAGTAATGAATGTTCATTCAAATTCTCAATGGAATATGTTATAAACAACTTGAAATCAACAACTAAAAATACATTTTAAATTCAGCATAAATGAAAAATTTTTTACAACAAAACATCAGGTCCACTGACTCTCCCCTTTAGCATTCCACCATTAAAAAGAATTGGTTGTGCTACTGAATTTGTTTCATATATTAATTTGCTTTCAAACATTTACTAAAAAACGCATAATTGTCATTGATAATTGAAGTTGCTGACAATTTGTCACCATATGCTATTTTATTTGTGTTTTAGGATCATACCAACAAAATGCCTCCGTTATGAAATGGATAAAACAATGCCAAAAAAATGGCAATGGTTTGATGTACCGACATATAAATACGAGATATAAACTAGTCATTATGTATGCAGAATTTATCAACTTCATGATTCACAAGAACTTTCATCTTCATCAAGAATTTTATCACTTTAGCTATTAGACAAAATAATTCACATGTACAGACTTCTGAATTCCCTAAATATTTTTTCAGTCATTCCTAGAAACATTTCAGAATTACATTTTTTGAAAGAGTAATAGATGTAAAATAATCAAAACTCATGATGTTTCACAGCTTCAGTTAAAAGAAAAATAAATTTGTAAAATGTGTCAAATGATATATGTTCATTATTTTGAATGTTAGTATTATTTAACAACCAAAGCCATAAATTCCAAAAATTTTTGGAATAGTTAATGTACAGCAAAATGATTATTAAAAATGGTAGAGGTCAATTTCTCTCCTTTCTCATCACATCTGTCAAGACTTACCAGCACACAGTCAGGTCATAACACAAACAAATATAAATAGAGGTAGAATGAAGCTTTAAAAAATTGCATGGGTACATCTCAAGACTCATACTCACTTCAGTAGTGAAGTTCAATTGTCCTGCACTTGCACAGGATCTGACTGCTTTGCTTTCTCTCTTGGAAAGGATAGGTGATGTGCGATGTACGATAGAATTGGAAACCATGTTTGCAAAAACCTGTGGTGCCTTTGGCACCACTTGCTCCAAATTACTGCGAGGGTGACAGTTCAATACATAAGGTGTATATTACGAGGGAGTCCTCTTGGAAAATGTTGAAAAAATCAAGGCCTAAAATATATACAAAAGGAGTATTACAATGAGATTCTAAGGAACAAATATCCTATGCTTATTCCTTTTTGTAAAAATTCAAGTTAACTAAAATTTTCTTTAAAATTAGACTATTTGTCCTACAACATAAGACAACAGACTGATATTGGTAAAGTTAACCCTTCCTTGATATTCCACTGCACATTCACTGAGAGTTCAGCACTTTTAAACAGTTACGAAGTACTACAGTAAAATCTCTCTAAACGGCAACCTGTACAAGCCAGACTGTGTGTTGTCTCAACGACCCTGTCAGTCTTGTATTAGAGAATTTTCATTTACCATTATGCCGTTAAAATTTGTACACTTTTATCCTCTGATTTAATGACTTTTAATTTATGTAATAATTAAAGTTGAGATGAATTTGTTTGAAGATATTGTGCGCAGGGGTACATGCAAACTAAAAGAAGAGGGGGAGGGCAACATTTCTGGGTATTTTCCATTGAACTTTCTTATTTGCATAACATATTTTATTATATATAAAACATACATGAATAATGGAATTATAACTTCAATGCTCCAATTAATAAATAAAATTGATTTCATGTTAAACTATTTACGCGGTTGCCAGATGGCCTTTCCCCCAAACTCAACAACTTTTGAAATCGTCAGGTTAAAAAAGGTGGAATATCAGGACTAAATATGTTTAAAGAAATAAAATCTTATCTACATATACAAAAGAATGATGGTACAACCAAGACAACACTGACACCATTTTATTCATGAAATCTGGTACGTCTCTTTTATCAGTGAGAACGATGCTGTTCGTTTTGTTGTATCTCTCTACTAAATGGTGCTGTAACATAAGATGGAGGTTCATTTAAATGCAACTCCATCACGACTCCACCTATGTTTCATTGTTGCTGGATGATGTCACGTAACACAGGGCAGGGTTGAACAGGACAGAATGAGTGGACAGCGTGGGTTGTAGATGAGTCGATACTAATGGAATGGAACATATAAAACTGTCAACACATATGTATTGCTAACCCCAGTTGGTGCTACCTCTGTTTTCATATCCTCCAAACAGTATCAGTTCCAACATGGCTTGAGAGGTAATAAAATTTTTAAGGGTGCCATAGCACTTGAAGCATTTCACATCAGCAGACAAAAAAACTTGTCAATGCTGTGAGAGTTTTTCTTTAGATGGAGGATTCATGAAACTTAGACAGACTGTATTGCTGATGTTTATGATGAGTTTGTTGTCTTGAAACCATTTTACTAGTGGTTGCAAAGTTTTGTGAGTTTCTTTTTCTAAATATTGTTGTTTTGTAGCATCAGAAAAACAATGGTTATTTGCATCTGTTATTGTTTTCTGTTTTCCAGTTTGTTGTTTTTCGTTTTTGTTTTATATTATTGTTATTGTTATTATTATTATTTGATCTATAGCAGTGCTACTATTTTTGGATATTTGGGTTGGTGTATTTATGGTTGTTTGTACAATTGTATGACTTTAGTTGGTCTTTAAATAGATTTTCACTACTGGATTCTCTGAGGCAATTTATATTGAAGTTACCACAAAGAATAATTTTATACTGTCTGGGTTTTTGAAGTTTTGTTGGAATAACTTCCAGATTTTTTACAAATTGTTATATTTCCCTGGTTATTTTTAACATATGTCCAATGTGTTATTGTAGGTTTTGTATTTATCTTTAATTTCATTCTTTAATGGATTAAAATAATTTATTTTGTACTCCTAGAATGCTTTAAGTTTTAGAATTAAAGACGGTCTATACACTTCAGTGAGTGAATGAATCAGAGAGGAAAAATGTTAAAGCCAACTACAAAAAATTTTAGTCATGATTGAAAAAAGCAATTCTATCAGCATAGAAATTGGTGGTACTAGGTAGTGTATTGAAGATATAATATAGTTAGTAGAAGATACATATACCCAGAAACAGGTAGAATTTCTCGTTCTCATCTGAGGGATATCAAAAGAGAAAGAAGTTCAGGGCAATTGATGAGACCATGAGTATTTTATGGAGGAAAATTAAATCATAGAATTTTGTCCTATCCTGAAAAGTTTCCAATTCAAATAAATTGTAGAATTTGGAAAGGACATGATCAAATCTATGAATTGTGTCCTGTTTCTAAACGCTAGGTGGTGCAGAAATTTACATTGTACACTTTCCTAATGATCAGTAGATAAAGTAGTGTAAGCTGGCCAAATGACAAGAGGTTTATTCTAAAATAGAATGAATCAAAGTTTTATTAAGAATTAACAGGTTATCAATGCACCAGCAGGATTTGGTGTTACGCAAATCAGACCCAGGAATTGCAGAGCTTTATTCACTGTTACAGTAATATGTATAATACTGAATACTAATATGAAGATTAGAGTCCAAAATCACTCCAAGATCCTAAAGACAGTGTTCTACGATTCACCATTTAAAGAATATGCCTCACGACATTATGTCTCTGGCACAACACTTACCAGTGTGGAGTTCTATTTTGTTTGTAGAACAACTGCGAGAAGGCAGAGAGATCCTCCTGTAGGCATCATTAAAATCAGTAATATTTGCATAAATTTTTGCATTGTTCGCAAACAATTCAATTTTACTATATTTGATAAAAGATGGCAGAACATTAATAAAAATATTATACCAAATCGGACCTAGACGAGAGACTTGACATACACCAGAACTAACTACCAAGTGCAAACTGCAAAATCCATGTATGCAGCATCAACATGAGAACAGGATTCAAATACTTTAATGATATAGTTTTTAAATATAGCTAGATTAGTTGTAGTAGATTTATTGTTAGTAAAACCATAATGGTATTCTAAAAATAATTGTGGAAAAATTTGGTGCCAAAGCATTAACCACAAGTTTCTCGAAGAGTGTTGAGGTGGTGCTGAAAATGGAAATAGGACAGTAATTTGAAATATCACTTTTGTCTCCTTTCTTGAATATAGGGACTTTACTATAATTCCAAGCTGTGAGGAAAATCACCAGGTCCAAGAATTAGTTAAAGATATATCATAGTGGTGGTGCCAGAGCAAATTTGCAATTGCTCAAAAAACTGTTGAGGTCCTCATTTGGTCCAGTACTCTTACCAGAGTTTAAACGACTTAGAATTCACGATAACGTGAATTTGATATTGCTGATGATAGAATGATGTTGAAAGTTAGCAGTAGTAGTTGGAATGGTTTTTAAATAGGGCTTAGTGTACTGATTAAAAAAATTAGTTGAAAATATGGTGGTAATTTCTGGAAAAGCACTTCAGCACTTCTTACCCAAATGTAGAACACCAAGTAACTGAATGTGCCTGGTAGACATATTAATAAACTTCTAAAAAGATTTAGGGACACAACAAAAACTGGTTTCTTTGGAACAAAGTGATCAATTCAAGTGAATAAGCGGTCATAAAAAATGATACATTACAATCAATAACTTGTTTGTCGAAGTAAAATTCCAGTCCTATTAATATAATAAATGATAGAATTGTAGTCACAATGTTCAATGTCGTAGAACACACTTGGTAATTTTGCATTGTTGTCCAGATGATTGAAAATCAAAGGGTATTTAAAATAAAGAGCACGATGTTGCAAGGTAATAATGGATCAATAGATTTAAAAATCTTGATATAATCAAAATCAGAAACAGGTAGATCAAGCAGCGAATTGTAATAATTGAATATAACATTGCATTGATTAAAATTAAGAGACACAATAGTATTAGACACAAACAATGCAGATAAGTTAACTTATAGGCCTATAGCTTAACTCGCAATTCATGACTGGTAGCACTTGCTCTTGTTTGGGCAATTTGGCAACCATGAGACTTTGCCTTCTTCCAAGATTTTTGTTACAGGCACTTCGAGACACCAGAGATGTGCATCTGGACATAAGCTGCAGCAACTCTCCCATTTCTGTGTTTTTCCCATTGAAGAGCTTAGGCGGGCAGGTATGCGTCTCACTCGCCAGAATCTTATAACATTGCACAGGACAGATTTATCGCTTTATTAATGGAGAACGTAACAATAATTATTATTTCATGACCGTGAGTTCACAGAGACATCATAAAGATATCTTTGAAACATCACCGCAAAGCTCTTCAATATTTATAAAATAATAATAATTATTATTATGAAACTAGGAAAATAAATAAATGAGAAAATCTTAATAAAATTAATAAAGAAAATGTAAATAAGTAGAAACTTAATAATCATTAACAAATAATGAATATAAATGAAAATATTATTTCCTTAAAATGATAACAATGCTGGATTAATCTACAAATAGTTAACTTGTCGGGAATTGGAGTTTCCGTATATTTTTCTTGAAACATTACCTGACTTTAAAATAGATTTACTGTCGAAATGCGAATGAATGACTGCCCAAGAACAGAATAAGTGCTTTCTCTTTTCCAACATATCCCCGTTCTCCCACCCTAAAATCTGTGGCCACACGACTGCCACGGGAGGGGGTCGCTAAAAGTGAAAGGAAAGCCAAAGGCTTTTCACTTGTTGCCAAATTGCCAAAACAAGCAGTGGCTTTTCCATACATGGGTTGTAAGTTAATCTAAAGACCTGGTATATGTGTGACAAGAATGAAATGACAAGAATTCATTGAGAGGTGGAAGGATCAAAACTGAATAGCTTATAAGATATGATGAAGTCTTAAACCTTTTCACAATTTTATCCTCAAAGCAGATGAGACGAAGATCTAAATGTTATAACAAAATATATTTCTACCAAAATTTGAATGCCACTCATGCATCATTAGAATTATAAAAGTAAAGAGACAAGAAGGAATTACCAATGAATTTATTTTAAATATTTCAACAATTAACATTTTTTGATTTCCACTCAGATATACTACAATGTTCAATACTAGGCTTCACATGTTCCCCATAAGGATTCATTTTAAAGGAGAATGGTAACATGTTTTCAGTGGTCTTAAACAATCTTCGCAATGCATTGTGTGCTGCCAGTTGTTTTGCTACTTCAATCGTCTCTCCAGATCCTGAAATTGAAAAGCTCATTTGTATTTAGATATTTTAAGCATTTTTAGAAATTTAAATTTAGATTTTGATTATTTATTCTAAAAGTCCAGAAATAGATTCATATTTATTTGATCCAATGTAATAATAATAATAATAATAATAATAATAATAATAATAATAATAATAATAAAGAGGACAAGAACTGCTAGTAAGTTATTACTAAACTTATAATCAATATTATAAACTGTTACTATTTCTGTATTCAACATTTTCAAAATTGGACTGAAGTAATCTTCACACTACAAATTAGTAAATTTTGGAGAATAAAAATGGAACAGCAAGTTTGTATGAAGAGACCCATCAAAAATATTTTTATTCTGAGATCAAAAACAAATTGATGCAAGAGGTTTATAAATATTTGAAATGCTGAACTGAACAGAACTTGACATTTGTGACTTCCAATTTGTAGACATTGTACAACCTCATAAGTGCATTCAATTTCTTGCAGAACAGATATCCAATGACAACTTTACTTTTTGCTGCAAAGGCTGTTTTGCAGGATGCTTTTAGCATTGGAGTAAATAACGAGAAAGATGAAAAATCAGCAGTAATTTGGCTACATTCACCATTTCTTTCCTAGAGCATTTTTCATGTCTCTCAGCTAAGATACGCAAGAATGATTACCAGCTAGCTAAAAGTCACTACTAATCATTAAAATGATTGAAGCAAAGATTCCCTTACCAGAACCAAGAAACTGCTTATCAGAGTACACACCAACTTCATAAGTCGATAGGATGGTGTTTCTTCCAGTTTCGTTAATCAGACGAGGCTCTGGAATCTCTCGTCCATCTCTTCTCATTATGTCAGTAAGAGTGGTAAATGGATCCTCAGGATGCCATATATCATTCACGTCTTTCTCAACAAGTTGAGTCACAATAAAATCACGGACAAATAAACCTGCCTTTTCTTCACCAGAACTCTCAATCAAAGCACCTACAACTGCTTTTAAAGTTGAAGCCAAAGTCTCTTCTTCTGGAGGGACATCCTGAAATAAAACACTGTGTTTATAATACAGACATAAGAAATGACAATTAAAGCACAAATTAATCATAGTAAATCTGTAAGAAAATTGTAAGGCTGTTAAGAAAATACATTGTTTAACTACTTGTTTTTTAAAAATTATTTTACTTAAGGTCGCTTCATTCCCTGATTCCCCACCAAGCCATTACGCAATTCATTTGTTTATTTCTTTATTTCTCACACTACTTCTTTGGCACTAAAGGGAACTTCACTAGGCCACATTGGCACAACCCAGGGCAACACCCTGCAGAGTACATCATTTCATACAGGATGCCTGCCTGCTCCCTCTCCTTATTTCCCAGGTAGTGCATAAGCCCTTCTTGGGCAAACAGCTGCCATATCCTTTGAGGTATCCCTTGATCCACCTTGATACTTTCCTTGTCTTATAGGTAAGGGAGCTAGCTTCTTCATTACAAAGACTTGGACGACAATGTTGTACCAAAGGAGAAATATGCATTTCAATATACAGTAACATTTGTGAAATATGCTTAATCAAAAGTTATGATTTTAATAAACTTTATGCATTTCTATGAGTTTTGTTCAAGCACTTGTCCATGATAACGCAATTTAAAATGATTAATAGGGACTATTTTCAATACAAATGGAACATGAAACTTATGGATACAAAAATAATCCCAAAATCTCAAAAAAAATTGAAAGAAAATATAGTGTGCCTAAACAGAAAGACAAATCAATGGAAATTTAACTACATTTCAACTTGAAATAGAAATCTGAACTTCATGAATGGAATGATTTTAAAAATACATTTTCCTTAAACAAGTCCGTAAGCAGAGTGATGATAATGTATATCTATTGAAAGAAAAATAATACAAAAAATCATTAATTATCCCTCCTTTACACCTCATGAAATGATAAATATCTTCCATCATCCATTTCCATAAAAAACTCCACCACCTATTAAACGATTTCCATGTATGTTACACACAAATAAAAGTGGAACTGAGGTTATCTTCAAAAAATGTTTCTTTAACTGTCAAACATGGTAGGTTGCGTGAGTTTCTGGCCTCATAAACTTCTGGTTTTGATACAAAGAAAAAAAAATCGTAACTTTTCAACTTAGTCACTCTTTACTCCAACGTTTATTTTGTCCAACTCCATGAAGCTGTAGTCCTTCACAACATTCTTTGCCATCTGAGCAGTAAGTACAGGCAGAGTCTTGAAGCAGCTAAACACCACGAGATAGCACTCCCCACACCCAACTCAAGAACCTCCCTCCACAAAACAGACAGAGATGTCACTTGCAAACTTAGAGCTTTATAACTATTAATTGCTCAAGGTTTTCCTATTGATGAGCAATATCTTGGTCAGGCCAATGCCTATTAGATTAAAATGTACCTTCATAACAAAACTAACCATTAACTACTACAAATAGTGCTGATCTGGGTTTAAGTGTGGCGAGTATTCAGAAGAAAGAGTGACACATATGGAAAAAAGTAAAAACAATTATTCATTCTTGCCTTGAAGGTTGATATAGGCATTCTGGTGATCAACGAGATGAACATCACGAGTGAAGAACCTCTGAGATTGGCTACAGAACTGAACTTCAATGATAATCTCGACCTCATTTTTGTCTGCAATAAAGACATGGTGGCCTTACAGTGATGGGCCTGAGCTTCAGAGGTGTGGCTACCTTCAAATATACTTTGAACAGTTCTGACTTCTCCCCCTGTGTCTACCCTTGATAAATATTATCAAAGAAGACAATTTGCAACAATAACAAAGTTCTGGTCATTATTGAAGGTTTCTACTACCAATCCCAAAAGTTCCTCACCCAAAATATTAATTATTTGTGGACTGTTGAAGCAACAGTATCAACATTTAAGGCAAATATGAGTATCCATTATTATCCACAAGTAGCATTATTTATATACATATGGTGTAGAAGCTTCGCTGGGCATTTCGAAGATGAGAATAAGGCTTAGGCCTTCGTCCCTCCGACTTGCAATTTATACAAAATATCCATCAGTCTGTGCAATACACAATACCAACAAATTTTATATGATAAGACTTTTAGGAAATAAGTCCCAATGATAGTACTGATCTCTTTTTAGACTTTGGAAGCATTCCATTTGTTACTTTACGAATCCAATTACATCTATCTCCTTGTTTTGTTACACTTCACTACATAAATACCTGATTAAACTTTTCATAACAATTCTACACAACAAACCATGCAGTACACAGCAGATTTTACAACTACTCCTGAACACCTAACTTTTCCTCCTCCGCTTCACCATGTATTTTCTCTTCACCTGATCTGCTGGTATAAATGACACCATGTTGTTCTGGATTCTCTTTATCACTTAAATTTACTTACTCTGTAAATTACTTAATAATTCACACTAATTATCGACAGTAAAAATATATAAATATGAACATACTTACTGAACTTAAAATTAAGTCTTTTGTTCCAATATTCTCAGATATGAATGCCAACATTTTGTCTTCTAATAAATAATTACACACCGCTCTAAAAATCAGAGAGTAAAAAATTCTTTCAATTTTTTATAAATGTCTCTCTCTTGCACACACACACACAAACACAGACAGACAGACAAACACACATACTCTGTTGTTTTCCCATTTTTGCACAAAAATACAAAAACAAGTATAGCAACCTTTACAGATCCCAAATGAGGAGTTCAAGGTGCATTGTGTTCCTCCTCAGGAGATGAGGAGATTGCTTCAACATGCTGTTTGCAAACATCTCACACTTATATGTTAGACATTCTAAGTGTGCAAAGTCTTTCTTTAGTATAGTTGTTGTTGTTGGGGTTTTTTTCCATGGCAGCACGAGTCTTAGAAACCCCCACTGACATGATTCATAGAAATTAACACATGTTAGCAAAGAGCTCATCACCAGTTGCTTTTGAGGCACTCGGGGGGGGATTTGTTTATTAAACAACTAAATTCAACTACAGTCAAATATTTCTTTCATCTAAAGATTACTGATTATCTTTGTAAATTAGTGAGAATGAGAAATTCAAGCCATGCAATACATGTTTCAAAAAGAACTGTATGAGTAATTATATATTAAAACACAAACCGGGAATAAAAAGAGACCTCTAATGTCAAATGATACACTGGAATGATTAACACTAACCAAGATTGAATACAAATGTTATAGATTTAAATATATAAAATTAGATTTAAATAAAAAATCCTGAGATTTTTTTTTTAAATCATGATTTTTTTTAAACTCTTTTTATTACATATAAAACTTTTGTCTGGTTTTGAATAAGAATTTCAACAATCTGGTCCAACAAAAATCAAAACCTCTCATTGCACTAATTCTCTCATATTTTTTTTAAAATTATATGCTCACCTAATTCCTTCTTCTGGAAATTTGGGCAATAATAATGAAACATAGTTTCTGATATATTTCTTCATAAAATTTGTTCCTTCAACTATAAGTTTCTGATTATCCTCAAGATTCAATTCAGGGTTTTCAATACCAGCTTCTTTCTGCGATTCTTCTTCTTTAACAATATATGACCGATGTGTAAAGGCACGCTGCAAAGTGTGTTCATTGAATTCTTCATGAAGTCTTTTCCCAAAAGAATACCATTCTGCTTTGTAATTCCTTCCAGAGAAAAAATTAATCGATTAGTTCAAAGAAGTTAAATTTGAACTACATCTGGATAGAAAAGTAAATTATATACTTACCACTCTACAAAAGATGAACGAAGAGGCGGTGGCTGTGGGCCCAATTTCTTACGGCGTCTCTCAAGTTCTTTTAATGTTGGGGCAACCCACCTCTTAATTCCACGAGCTGAAAGAGTAGGGGAAGAAAATATAACGAAATAAACTTTGGTAAGACCTTAAGAGAGAAATGAACTCTTACCGGTAAATATTTCGTGACACCTTATAACATTTGTACCACAGATAGTTGATTGTATCACGAGTCTTAGTGCCGACATTTCTATGTTTCTGTAAAAACAGGGTACACGTAATAACAAAGAATTTCTGGAGAAGAAACATTTATGTTTGATTCAATTTCAGAGAAATCTAAAACAGATTTAAAAGAAATTTGTGCACACGGTACCAGTGTTTTACGATGCCAAAAGACTTTATTTACTCAATTTTTTGGTTCGAATTTCACTTCTTCGCGTCTATCTCCTCCAATGTAGGAGATAAACAGTACATCAAGCTAGTATCCCTAGTCTCTTGTACCTATTCTAGAATCCAGCAACGTTTTAACCTCAATTACTATCGCCTAGTGAGTGTCTCTCTTGAATCGAATGTGTCGTTCGCGAACGAACAAATTCAATTGAACTGTTCTCAAAAAGAAACGTTACGATACCGACCATTTGGTGAACTAGAGTTCATGATTTTTTTCAAGCGCCATTTCGTCTCCCGTTCTTTCATTTTCAAGTGTTTTGGGCAACGAGATACACTATATTCTAGCTCATTGCTTTGGGGATAGAGTGAGTTTTAGAATCAAACTTTTAAAAAATGCATGTTTTAACTCCGCGTCTGTGTAATGTGTATTTCTTTTCAATGTTCGAAAAAAAATAACAAGAGCAAAAAAAGGTTTGTATACCTTAAGAGGGCAAAAACAACTAAAAATATCATATAATAATTGTCTCATACGGCGTTGTTAGTTTAATGGACGTAGTTTAAGGTTAATTCGATCCATAGAAGGGCCGAAAATGGCGTTAAGTTGCCACCTCTTCGGGTTTCATCCGGAGTCTTCCGGTTTACTACTTTCATCTCCGGGTCCATAGAGGAGAGATACAATCTTGTATAATATAATACAAATTGTATCTCTCCTCTATGTCCGGGTCATGCACAATATTGAATGTACTACGTGTTCACATGTTTCTGATACTTAGATTTCAAGAATTTGTACGCATTTTCTGTATTTTCAATTTTTATTTTTATTAAATATTGTTTTACTTAACGAGATTCGTAGAAATAAATAAAAATTGACGGTGTTTTCTATTTTTACATAAATTAAAAATAAAAATATTAAATTAATTTACATATTTCTACATGATTTACTGGCTCACTATAGACACAGTTCTTGAATACGACAAAAATTAGAAATTAGTTTAATCTCATAAATAATTAATAAGTCATAAATACTAATGTTATTGGTTTAAATATTATTTATTTAATGTAATAAAGTGGCGGTGCTGGTGTAATGGTTAGCGTATCGTACTGTTATACCCAAGTTGGTGGGTTCAAACCCGAAGCCGTGGATTTTTAAGGGCGAGAAAATCCTTCGTACGCCTTGCTTCGGAGGGGAAGTAAAGTCGGCTGTCCCATGTTCGTACATTTACTTGCATGTAATAGATCCTCAAGCCCAAAGAGTATATATCAAGCCTAAATGACGCCACTGAGCAAAATTCAAATCGCCTGTTTCGTCGCCCAAGAAATACCTCGTTTCTCCGCTGGTTGGTGAAAGGAAAGGAGCGTAGCGAAATTTGCGTGGTCAGACAGAAGAGCGGGCCTGATGGCCCGAGTCTCGCCAAGTATATAATAATCATAGTATTCATATAATATATTCAATTCAATAATAATATGAAAAATTCTTTTTTTTTTATCCGAGTTGGTCAATAATTTAACCGTACAAATTTTGAATTTGACGCCAATCAAGCATATAATCCTACAGGTACATGAATATTCTATATATACTTCTACGAATCAAGAGTCTGTTAAATAGAAATATAGATGGCTAGAATGATATTTTAATGTTGGATTTTATTTTGAAGACAATATATTATGGAATATTTTCAACTTTTTGTATTCACTACGAATCATAATAAGTAGCAAATGTGCTAACTAAAGAAAGCCGTTTCAAATGAGAAATATACTTGGAAGAAAAGTTAGTTTTTAAAAATAAATATTTTTAATGTAATCATTTATTATTTGTTTTATGAATGTCTGACTATGGAAATGTAATTTATTTGATTGTTTCTAAACTAATAAATTAGAATTATGATTGTACAATTAAAAAAAAGTGTAAATTTTAAATAAAACATACCCCCCCCTCATGAAAATTTCCGGGTATGTGTCAATAGGTGGCAACTCTAAAATGGCGCGTGAAATTACTGATAATAAATAGCCAAAATTTAGAATTTGTTTAGAAATAGATCATGACTGAGAATGTTCAGATTCATTATAAAGAAATTAAATTTCGAAATAAAAGAAGACACTCATCAAGGCTTTAAAAATTATCGATGTCGGCCATTTCTCAAACTACAGCTGTGCAGAAAATTACTACTGCGATGGATTGTAGGAGGAGGTTTGAAGAACGGGGCCATTCATATTTTTCTACTTAATGATTTTAATTAAGTAGAAAAAATAGGAGGCATTATTGTCTGATTGTCCCTTGCAGAGAGTCCCTTGTACGAATGACGTAGATGCCCAAGTGAAGACGCTTTAACAATGGAAAGGGCGAAAATATGAATGAAACGTTATTAATACAAAAAAAACTACGCCAATTATGCTGTCTTTTAATTATTTAATTAAGTAAGTATATTTGCATTGAATTAATATTTTTGTTGATATATAATTTCTAACAATATATTGGAAGTTTTGGAGCAAGAAATATCCTTCATATTGGATTTTACGGTCAAGTGCCGCAGCTATAGCTTACAGTAAAAGTTCCTTAATCTATCGCTAGAGTATCAACATTCAATCGTTGTTTCTCACTTGATTAACACAGTTTTAAAATATCGAAAAGGAGGGCACTTACTGAGGAAGGACTGAACTTATAAAAGAACTGTCCTCACTAGAAGGACGATTTGTCACCTCACGCAGAGAGTATATATTATATCCTTATCTATCTTCACTAATTTCCCAACATTTGTTGAAATAAGAATACATTATAGCAAAGTGTGTTGTAGACAAAATCTGGTAATGAGAAATATTCTCTCCCGTGTATTAGAAACTATTTTGCATCGAAACATGAACAAATGCGGCGTAAAATTTATTTTGTCAAAATAACACAACACCCCTATCCTCTCTCATTTAGCGAAACATCATCACCTCATGCGAACCTTCCGTTACTAATTTCGAACACTCATCGACATGAATAGTGTTCTTACACAATGTAATTCAGCATATGCAGTAGTTATAGTTATGATGGCATTTTGGGCTTGTCAATGAATACGCAAAAATTCGGTATGTATTATTGCAGTGAGCGCTTCAGTTGCAGCCATTCTAATACCACTCCTTTTGCAAACGATGCCATTTGAAAGTCATAAGGTTATATTGGAGAAAAAAGTCGTAAGTTGGGAATAAAATATACAAATATCAAAGCATCGGACAAGAAAAGGCGACAGGCAGAATAATTTGAAATACATTTTGAATAAATCAATCGACTCTTCAGTTACAGTGATTTCTCGCATTAATGTAGAAAATAGGATTAGATGCCAAAACAAATTAAATATTCCTTCTGAAATAATAGATATGCTGATAAAGACCAAGAAAGTCACAGAAGAAACAGGGGCGGATCCAGAGACGAATTTTGGGAGGAGACATTAAAAATGGTTAAGTCGAATGAGCCATAAAATATTTTGTAAAATTTCGTAGTCTACACTAACTCATTTCCATCCCCGTCGATTCTCCTGGAAGAAGAATAGTGCAAAGATAGAGTATATGATTTGAAGAATGATGAAAGTATTTTGAAATATAATTTCAGTAGATTATTGAATGCAGTATAATTAAATGGCGGAAAGTAGGAGTTAAGCTAGCGTGTATTAATTCAAAATTTTAGTTAACAACGTAAATACCTTGCACGTTTTTACGTGCAGTTGTGTGGTTTTGTTTTAATGCTTTAGGTGCATTAACACTTGATACATTTTTTAAATTATCAGTTAATTTTGGCCACAAAAACGGGTCTCGGGAACCAAAGTGTAGGTCTGCTCTGCCATTTCAAATGAAGTGTCCGTGTTGTGGTCATTCGGTTCGTGACTGGCGTGCGCAGAACGAGCAAAATATGATGCACCGAAGGAGTGTTGCCGAGTTAGGGGTTTTCTCCTTAAATTTCGTTTTTATTTTGAGGGATGTTTTAGGGTAAAAATTTATTAGCGTGTTTACGTTTAGTTTTTCAAATGTTATTTCTTTAAAAATCTATTGTGTATCACAAGTGTTCGAAATGATTATTGGAGATACAGTAAAACTTGTCTAAAGCAGAAACAAATCTCAAAACAGACCATTTTCCAGTGCCAAGTAGACTGTATGAGCCAGAAACCTGCCTACTACGGAAGTGGAAAGAAATTTTTGGCAGGAGTTTGGAAAATTCTGGAAATTATAGAAAACTGTTTAATATAAACAATGTTTTGTACACACACCCCTTCCAATATCAAATACTTTTCACAAGTTACGGTCAGCAGCAATGGAAAGTTAAACATTGCTAAAGAACAAGGATAATGTGTACAATTTTGGGCATTTTTCTCATGATAATTTTCGTTGTGAATTTCTCTCTTCAGTCCCCTGAAGAACAAAGCTAAGTTTTACTGTAGTATTCAAGAACTTCCCATCTGGCAAATTCTGATACAACACCCACAGTATTAAAAGAATTTATCTACATTTTGATTAACTTTACCAGAAAAATTTATGTAAACGATTGTAAGCAATTTTATTTGTGGTTAAGAATGGTCATTGTAAAGGGGTTGGAGTGGACTGGCGAGGGTGCCAAGGAAGAAATTAGACATGTTGCCAGGAGTGGGTTATGTAAGTTGTTAAGGTGAAAAGCACACCGGGCATACATGTTGCAAGCCTGTTAATTAATAAACAACAACTTTGCCTAAAATATCTAAACTAACCTATAGATGTTTCACATCTAATATTAAGTAATTCTAATGGCAAAGGGGATGGAGTAAAATAAGAGTTGGGAACAACTTTAAAGACACTTTAATTTATATACATATTTACAATACAGAATTTTTGGGGCTATCATATTATAATTCATTTACACATTTGGGCCTTCTGTTCTAAATAGTGTGGTGAAAACCTGATTGGGTCTGTGCACAAAGCTGTCCTTTTTGCAGATGATTTCCTCATAGATTTTAAAGGTGATGGTCAATGGGTGCCCTCTAGCATCATTGCAGGAAGGTACTTGTAAATGGAAACAAACAAGTTCTACGATGCCTAGTTTGTTGGGAGGCCAGCAGTTTATTCATGCGATTTCCAGTTTCAGCTGTAGCCTGTCGGAGTTGGTAAAAATTTTTTTTGAATAAATATCTAGAATATTTTAAAATGCTAACCTGCACAACTCTTAAGATTGGTATTGAAAGAATAATGTGCAATGTAACCAAAGTC